TTGAAAAAGGAGTAAAATGATTTCCAATATTTATGCCCTGTTCACACGGAGAGTTTAATTCGAATGAAACATAAGTTTACTGCGAATTAGCTTCGCTTAGCGTTCACACGGAGAAATTAATGCGAATTACTGTAGAAGTACTTTTTTTCCGCATGGTATTAATTTACACTAGGTATGCGGTCACAAATTTTCCGCGGAAATTGGTCCAAGTTTACTTAATATAAATGTTAGGCATATAGTGACAATTTAGAAGATCCGCGTAATTTTCTACCAGCGAATTAAACAGAAATTGAGAATCCGAGGAATTATGACCCCATGGAAAAAAGTACATCTACAGTAGTTTAAATCGAATTAATTTCCTTAATTTACTTACATTTAACACAAGTTCTCCTGTCGTCCTGTAGCTGATATCCAATATAACAGGTACAATAATAACTCCCAATGGAGTTGTGGCAATTCTGCAAGCAGGAGCTAGTACCCTCCACACATTCATCAATATCTACAAGTCAAAATAATGCTCTAAATCTACAGCTTACATTCTTTTAGAAGGTGAAGATTATACATCTGAACCCACTTGGTATTTAAAGAATGCTAGAGCAATATCTAAGAAAAAGTTGAACATGGGTTCCCCTTGTAGGATACTGCAAGTCACACTAGCACAAACAATTGTTTCATATATTTTAATTACTGACAGACACCATATGACCATTTGACATTATATATGGGGAAAATGAGAGATACAAATTAAATCTAAAGGCCTGTTCTGCACGAGAAACCTTTCTGTATTTCTTTTGAAAGAATGGACATGGACATGAATGCTTTCTTATACATTGCAAAAAAAATTCCAATTAATTATCCCAGTTCATATTTTGGGGGGGTTCATAAATGTCTCAACACAAATCTAATGATCATACAGTAGGGTAAAGAATTGATCCTCTCTACCTTCACAATCTCCCGAGGTGGAGTTTCTCTGGTAGCCCACTTGACAGGGACAGAGGAATGAGCCTGGTATGTCCTGACAGGTCTCTGTGGAGGTACAGTTATGGAGGGCCGAGCTACACTCATCCACATCTACAGCAAACAAGAGGCCCATGGGCCACATCGCTCACCTGAGCACTGTGGCTGGGAAAAAGTAGAAATTGGTTTATTATTGAAAAGTTTATATCCAAAAGTAGTCCCATGACCAATAACGGCTTTGCTATTCTTGATAAGATGATTTTTAAAGAATTTTCCTATATATGTCTATGTAAAACTTTGATTGGCCATTGTGGCCCCACCCTACCCCCGGGGGTCATGATTTGAACAAAGTTGAATCTACACTACCTGAGGATGCTTCCATATGAATATGATCAATTATGGCTTTGCTATTCTTGAGAAGATGATTTTTAAAGAATTTTCCCATATATTTCTATGTAAAACTTTGGTTGGCCATTGTGGCCCCGCCCTACCCCCATGGGTCATGATTTGAACAAATTTGAATCTACACTACCTGAGGATGCTTCCATATAAATATGATCAATTATGGCTTTGTTATTCTTGAGAAGAAGATTTTTAAAGAATTTTCCTAGTATATATTTCTATGTAAAACTTTGGTTGGCCATTGTGGCCCCACCCTACCCCCGGGGGTCATGATTTGAACAAACTTGAATCTATGCTACCATAGGATGTTTCCCCATAAGTTTCACCTTTCCTGGCACAGTGGTTCTTGAGAAGAAAATTTTCAAAAGATACCACCAAATTTTCATTAATTCCCAATTATCTCCCCTTGAATGAGGGTGTGGCCCTTCATTTGAACAAACTTGAATCCCCTTCACCCAAGGATGCTTTGTGGCAAGTTTGGTTGAAATTGGCCCAGCAGTTCTTGAGAAGAAGTCGAAAATTTGAAAAGTTTACAACATGACAATGACGACGACAACGACAGACAACGGACAAATTGTGATCAGAAAAGCTCACTTGAGCCTTTGGCTCAGGTGAGCTAAAAAGGATATATTAGACAGATTTAACTGTAAGAGGCACAAGAAATTTAGAAAGGGCTTTAAAAAGCAGTTGCTCCCATATAAACAATGAGGAGAACAACTGAAAAACAAAACAAATTTATTTCTTACTCTGACAGATTTGTGAAGCATTTCTCTGGTATCCACTGACACACTGACAGCTGTAAGATCCCGGATTGTCCACACACACCTCTGTAGCTGAACACAAACTTGGATCCACACATTCATTGATGTTAGTGTCACACAGGGTTCCTGTCCAACCAGTCTTACAAACACATCCTCTTACACTGTCACAATGCAAAGCATTCTGGGAACAGTCACATGATCTGTTGCAATTGTATCCCCAGTGTAGAGAATCACAACCTGTTCGATATATACAATTCAAAAATATAAACTTGGGGTCTAAAGGCCTTAACAGTCATCTAAAATCATTTTATACTATGGAATCTTTCATTTGTGGGGGGTCAATGTTCAAGGGCAAGCAAAATTCTGTTTTACTGAGGAATTGCTTTCATAACTAATAGAACAGGTTGATATCAATTCATTTTGTTCAGATTTTTTGAAAGATAATAGAGGCAAAAATATATGCAAACCTTCACATGATCTTTTGTCATTTTGCAGCTCATATCCAATGTAACAACTGCAGATAAAACTGCCATCTGTGTTAGAGCAGATTTGTGGACACTGAGCGGAATCCTGACATTCATCCACGTCTATTTATAAACAATTGTCAAACTATTGAAGACATATGCAACACTACAAGCAGGTTTGAAACACCTTCAAAATCACTTAGGTGTTTCATATTTATAGGTTTTATGTTTAAATTATTTTAAAAATTAATAAATTTAATTTTTTTATGATTGTTAGAGGGTACCTGTACAGTTCTTTCCATCTGACTGCAGGCTGTATCCTTGGTTACAAAAACAGTATGGGTGTGCTGTGCTGTTTACAGTGCACTCTTGTGAGCAATTCATATCAGCACACAGCACATCAGGACCTAAAGCAAACATACATTTCTCAATTCAAAATTTTCATGATAAAAATTCTGCAAATTATATAAACTCTAATGTATTTCAATTTTTTCATGTTTATGTTTGCAGAAAGAATAATAGTGTTAGAACAACTTCATACTTTCCATTACACAGGACGCTTGATTGGATTGCAGATTGTAGCCAGGCATACAGGAGCAGTAATAAGAACCCTGGGTATTATGGCATTTCTGCTCACAAATGTTGGTACCTTCAGAACATTCATTGATATCTGAAAAAGAAATTTTTATCAATTACACCTTTGTTTGCAGCAATTACATTATACATGACTGACTCTCAGTTTTGAACATTCTTAAATTTTAATTTATTCAAACCATGTGATCCAAGATAAAATCTAGTATACATATGTTACACAAATAATGTTTCAGTCTCAGCTAGGCTTTGTTCGAGTCAAAATTGTGAAACTTGGGTTTTTGGTCACACAACACAAATGTCTCATGTTTATTCCAATATAAACCCAGATTGTTTTACATGTATATTAATGTTACACTGCCATGCCCTTTGCTTAAACTACAACCTTGAGTACTGCCATTGAAGTTAAGAGTTTTACCGTGACACATATGACCCGTAAGTCTGTATCCTGTCCTACAAGAGCAGGTATAACTTCCTTCAGTGTTGCTGCAGATCTGATCACAGTCATTTAAGGTGCTGTTTGCACATTCATCTATGTCTGAAAGTATAAATGCACAATTATGTTTGAATTGTCCACAAATCATAATTTTCTTTTGAAAAGTTAAGAAAACATTCAATTCATTTAGCATCTGAAACAGTATTTTGAACAGTCACTTAATGTGATGAAAAAGACCCTTTGCATTTACCAATACACTTAAAGGTCTCTGTCATCTGGTATCCCTGAGGACAGTTTTCACACTTGAATGCCCTTCCTGTTGACTGGTGCTCAGCTGCTGGATTGTCTGTACAGTTACTGAGGGGATCACAAGGGGAACCAGCACAACCATCAATATCAATCTCACAGGAATCACCTGTATTATATGGATTCATTTATATATTGACCAAAATCAAAAATGTCTTGAAAAGAAACAATAAATCTAATGAAATCTAGATGGATTCTGCTTGGGAAACCTAGCAATTATTATTAAGGTCTAGGAGAAAAATAACTATCTGAAGCCACTTACCTCTCCATCCAATGTCACATGTACAGGGAACAATGAAGAATGTAGACACACTGGTGGATATGACCTGGGAGTAGTTACAGCTGCCGTGGTTGTTACAACCGTAACACAAGTACACAGTCAATGTTAACAGACCAGATATACCATGTTTGCTGTCAGTGGCATATAACCTGTTAAGTGAAGAACATATTTGTGCAAGATTATCATTAATGAGCGCATGCAATTCGTAAGATTAGAAAATGAACTAAGGCTCCCAAAAACTAGACAAGTGATCTGCAGTTGTCTAATAAACTATCTGACCACTGGCAATCAAACTTGTCTGACTGCAAGATTTCTCTTGAATTTCCTTGGGGTCAAAGTTTAACTTGGTTTTCAGATGGTACCAAATTGTTAACATGTCAACAAACATGTCCTTTAATGTCTTTGCCAACAGACAACAAACCAGACTATTCCTTAGTATGTCTTTCACCTATAAATTTTAAATCCTGGTCACAACACCAAATGTAACAGGAAAGGAGAAAATGTGATGGACCAGAACAGGATTCAAACCCAAGTCCTTGAACTCTTTACTTCTGTTCTTCTAACTTATCTATCAGGACATAAGTTACGTTTTTGATTAATATCCATATCTTATTACTTATTACTTTATCTCACAATATGCATAAACATATTAAATCTATGTGTCTATGGAGACATATTAAACATCAAAATTTGAAATAATAACATATTAACCTAGAATTACTGTAAACCAACTTTTATTCGCGACGACTTTATTTCACAATTTACCATGATAAAGTAGTTCGCGAAGATTAACTTTCGCGATTTAGTCTTTTTGGTTCTGTTGTTAATAGACACATACACAGAAATATTTGCGATGACGAGGCTCTCGCGAACTTCGCAAAAATTTCTCGCATGTGAAAAAAAAGTTGGCTTACAGTAACTGCCCCCCCAAAAGGACTGTACTTATTCCCTACTTTTAACATCTGTTATCACAAACTTACTCTACAGATGTAGGGGTCATGTTGGTTGGTGTCCACTGATAACTTAAGTTAGTGTTTCCTGCCCCTTCCAGTGACAGTACAGCAACAGGGGAGACCATTACGATGGTCACTTTGTCTTGGTCCTGGTCAGTGGCTGTAGCTGTGATGTTGACCGGCTGACCAACAATGGTATAGATACCATTCCCATCAATGGAAGGTAGATTATTTGCTATACAGGAAATGAAAAATTACACATAGATGAATTGGACAAAACCCTTTCTCAATACTGGCATGCAAAGAAATAAAGTTTAAACATTATTAAAATATTTCACTTCAAATTTTTACAGCAGTGGATACATAGCTTATATACTTCAGCATCATACATTTACACATGTATAACTTAGTATTCTATGTAAAAGTTCATGGACAAAACTGAATTCATATCAGTAAAATATTTTATACATTATATCCTTTATTTCTCTTTCTATCTCATTTGCAGATTTAAAAAATACTTATTACAATTACTTGTTCTTAAAAAACATGTTACATTACCTGCCAACACTGCTTCTTCCTCAGCAGCGGCATGTGTTGACTTTGTCAGGTTAGCCACAGCTGAATTCTGTGTAGCTAGATAGTCAAAAATACAGTTCATCTTATCTGCTCCACCACATACAGCAATGGCTTCATCTCTCTCTGCTTTTGTAAAATCGTCCAGAAACAGTGGAGTAAAGTCAGAGTGCTTGTAGTCCTCACATTTAGAGTCATCACGATACACAAAGAGGGATGCAGCACAATCAATCTGCCCTGCAAATACAAACATACATAAGGTGATTGCAACAGGGGGACCATAAGTACAAGAAAAAGGTCTCCTAGAATATTCAATACAACCCCAAGAAACCCTTTAAGCAAATTCACATTATTCAGACATATGGATGGTATATGTAGAATTAAATTTTTTTTTTTTTTACAACATAAATGCATTTTTTTTCTTCTGGTCACTGGGTCTACATTTGCATACAAAATATCCAAAAATTGCTTTCAATTTTGGTATGTAGGTATTTTTTAAAAAATTCTTCAGGGTTTTGCATATATACCCTCTAAATCAAAAACCATGGGGAAAAAAAATAATCTATTTGGTTTACACATGCTGACATCATGTTTAAACTTAATGCAACAATTTTGCACAGTTGCAACAATGTTGCACAGTTCTCTTTTTAAATCATTCATACATTGTTGGCCAAAACTGTAAAATATTTCTCGCTCTGTTGAATTTGTAGATAGCAGGGTTCCATTTGGAGCTATCAGATCATCCGTCATATTTCCGTTGATATTTCCCAGAAGTCCATTGTTAATCGTGGAGGAGGACAAACTTCCTGGAATGGATGCTGTTAACTCCATCATTCCTAAGTTAACAGCAAAGTCCATTGTTGGGCCTTAAAGAAAGAAATTATGCCTTTGTAAAGAACAATAATTTTAATTTTCACTTACCTTACTGGACAAATTGACAAATGTTAACACTGGATCCTGATATTCCCAATAGATTTTTAGATTCTTACCAGAGGGAAACAGTGCTCTGATCTTGTGGGTTCCTATTCTCTTAACCACCATATTTGTTCTGTAGGATAAAAATGTGTCGCTGGCATACATCTGTAAGGTTTTATCTTCTCTGTCTATATGAAGGATCATTCCTGAAAAAATAAGCATAAAGGTTTCAATGTTAAAATACCATTAGTAAAATGGTGATATAAAAGTTCATACAGTGAAACCCATCAAATCTGACAAGCACTAGAAAACATAGTTAGTTTCAGAATGGACAAAAGATCATGGAAAATGAAATTAAAGGTAAACTGGAATTCACAATGAAACAGCGACTCATCAGTTTGCAAGAGACTGCAAAGTTTAATTTTCGCAACTGAGAAAAACATTCTCTTCAAATACAAAGTGAAAAAATTGTTTCAGGGTGATTAATATTTGCAAGTGAAAGTAGGTCTCGAAACTTGCAGAGATTGCTCAATGCAAATAATAGTTGGTTTACAGAACATTACATAGTGCTACATTCATCCATCTTTATTGCCCTATGCTCCCCAAGGAGTGGACAGAAATAAGTCAAGCAAGTCAATTATCCATCTTTCCCAAATATTTTTTTTGCAATGCCAATAAAAAACTATTTTTATGACAAAAGCTTTGTACATACCTGTGCCATCTAGGTTGACTTCTACCTGAACCACTCCCCCATTCTTTTCCCTGACAACAAACGCATGGAAGACTGTGGCATTTATCTTGGTTCCATTAGCATTGACAGCTTGTGCTGTACGAGTCTGTATCTCCAGTAGAGTGAGGTTTGTCCCTGGTTCTACCATAGTCAGCATCACATACTCTCCAAGTCCATTAAATGTATAGGTCAGACCATCCAGTGTCCTGACATGGGGGTCTCCAAAGGAGGAACCTTGATTGAAAAAGGATTTTTTTAAAAAGGGGGCAACACTGGTAAAAAGGGAGGGCAGGGCTTTCACACCACTTTTTGGGACTGGGGCCGGGGCCGTTCAAATTGGGAAAATTATCATTTTGGGAAAAGTTTATATTTCACAAATATCATTAAAAAAAATCCTCAAATTTTTTTTTTTTAGCATTTTATCATCAATGCTAACTCTGGTTTGAATATATAAACAGAACAAACATGGGTACGTAAAAAATAAAGTACATTAGCTTTGTCATTACTATCTTTTTTGATATTGCGGTTATATTTTACTGCGTGACAGTCGCTATGTCACATGTCACGAATTTCCTCGATCACATGGGCAACTGTGCTTACCAATACAGCGCGAGACTAAACATGCCGAAGCACGGGTATTTTTCTAGGTGCAGCTTACTAATGTTTAGATGAAATGTCTTTTTTTGAAACCAAAATGCTGGTTTTGTCGAAACTACATAACAAGATACTCTGCACTCATAGTTGTATACATTTTTGTTATAACCTGGTTCCCCGACTTTTGTAAAGCATTTGGCGCGAACTAATAAAATAGTAGTACATTTCACTGTCATTATGCAAATGGGTGTTTTGTCTAAAATATTTTTTTTTTGCGATTATGATGGACTTTTATTTTTTAATTAATATTTTACTCTGGATGGAAATTGGGAAATTTACACCTTTCTTTTGGGAAAAAAGGTACCTTTTTTTTTTTTATAACTAAATACATTGAACGGCCCCAATTTTAGAGAATCGAGAGCCCTGGAGGGGAATTTCTAACCTTGCCTACTACCCTAATACATTGATAATAAAGCATCTTTTTTTCTACACAGCATGTTTCATCTATGTATATGGTGTTAGGGATATTTAGGCTCAATTCTATAATTGTAACATGTGTTATATTTCATGTAAATATAAGATGTAATGTTTAATTATCACTGTTTTCACAATCATTTTTTTTTAAATTTAGATGCAATCCTTTTATAAAATAGATTAATATTAATATATAAACCAGACCTTAACTAAACCCTGAAAAAAAAAATTAAACGGAAACTAGATCTGATCATTGACAACTTTTATTTGCAATTTTGGTTATTTCTGGGTACTGTGACATATCCCTATGTATGATGTACACTATAATATTTATTTGAGGGACATCTAACACTTACCTGAAGTAAGAGGAATGTAAAACCTGCAAGTGTCAGAGATCCGGTAGCGAAGAAATTCATTGCACAAGTTTGTTTTTTGACAGCACCACTTATGAGGATCTCTGTCAATGCTATTGGACTCCTTCAAATTCAACAGAGGATTCACCATGTAAATGTATCCAGCCTCTTCTCCTGTGGTTATCAATGCCTTAGAAAATGTCTGACTTTTGTAACAGCATTTCTGTGAAAAAAAATCAAGACAAATTGAGAGATACCGTCAATATATAAAGATGACTCTTTGGACTAAAATATTTAATCAAGGTTTGATGTTATTGAAATTATACTTCCAACATGTATATTAAACGTGTTTACATGTTAGATTTTTACTCCAGATAAGTACTGTTAGAGTCTGTAAATGTATTTCTTTGTTGTTTTTTTTCTTATAACTAAATACATTGTGCGTACACAAGTTCCTAGAAGACAATAAAAATATCCATTCTAGTATGAATATTTCCCAGAAAATTAAAGACTGTGAGTTTATATATATACCCGTGTTCCAGATACACTTTCTCCAGGTAATTCCTTCACATAACAGTTGTTACCAGCTTCTGTTGAAAACTTCACAAAGCGACCATCTTTTTCCACTCTGTCTTCACTACAAGGGCACTTTGTGAGTTTGACATCAGCAATCAAAACTTTTAAATAATCAGATTTGCCACTGCCCTGAATCCAGCTGAAACATTTCTTTCTGTAATTCACAGTACCAGCAGGAAGGGAATCTATCTTGTAAATCCAAAGTCCCGTCTCATTTTTTCTTCCACCTGTAAAATTACACAAAATAGAAATAATTCCAAATTGGTAAAATTAATCAGGTTAATATGTATATTGATTGATTATTTAATTAAATATTTCGTAAAAATTTAATAGCTGTGATATATATAAATCACAATAGGGGTACTGTCAGGGTCAAATTAAGGCCTCATCTGTAGGAGTCTAGTTTTTCTTTCTTTCTTCTTTTTTACTAGGTGAAGGGCATTCCCTAGCATTTACAACATTGTACAACAAGCAAAAAATTGAATTCATATCTTTTTGAGAGGGCAAACATGTAAACACTGATTAAATAAACTTTGCTTTAAATAATTAAATATATATCATTGACAAAAAATATGGGAGGGAACATATTTCCCTTGGCCTTGGTTCCTTCAAGCCTGATTTTCTTAGCGTATGGGAAGTTTGTTTAAACAATAAAATGCTTTCTTTGTTTGTTGTTACTGGAATGAATGGAAGCAGCTGTTGCAGAAAAAATACATAACCCCGCGTGAGCGGGTTATGTAAATTTTTTCTGCAATATGTCCAGTAATAACAAACAAAGAAAGACATTTCATTGTTTATATTTATATCTGTTTAAAGAGTCATTAAAGAAGGATTAAAAAATTTAATTATTGTGTTAATGATGCACGTCTTTGTACGTTTCATTGATGGAACGGCCACTGATCAAGAAATCTGAGGTAATACCTAATGTAGTTCATGCAGTGATGAACGCAATGGGTTTTCTTAAGAAATAAAGAAGAAAATATTCAGTGGATGTAAATATTTGCACTTGAGCACGGGTATGTTCTTACTCATGTGTACGTGCAGTTTTTCATTTGCAGACTTCAGGAATTCAGCCTGAATTTATCGTGTCAAGTGATAACCTACATTAACTGACAGGTATAGAATAATTATAAAGATTTAAGTTCATTTCGTTGGATTTCTGTTTTAAACTGTTAAATCAAAAATATACAGCATGCAGCAATAACAATCGCCATATTGGATTTTGGGGGACCCCAATATCACACCCATGCAGTATACTATATAAAGCCTAGATTGATAACCTTTCCTACCGTTTGTTGTGATTTCCAGCAAGAGAATTTTTTCATATTATCTGTCGAATCGAACTTGTTGTTTTAAACATGCACGCACAACACCAACAGATCAAAGATGCGGTGTCAGTGAAAGAAATCGGCAGCAACGGAAGTAGCAGCATGCTGAAGTTTGGCGCGCAATTTACTTCTGGTTTCTCTAGACTTTCCCTGCACATTCGGTACACCTCTATGTTTTATCATCATTTTAACAACTGCTGTCAAGAATGAAACAGAATTTCACCTCAAGTGAAGTAAATTTCTCCTTCTCCAGTTACCTGCTGGTTACGTAATATTGGACCCAGGCATGTATGATAATGTTATGTAACCGTCTCGGAAATGGGGGGGGGGGGGGGTCAGACTCAAAAATATACACAATGTCATATGCACGTATAGTAATCATGATAAAATAAAAATATCTAATTAAAGAAATACAATCAGAACCGGAGCATTCAGCCTGAGAAAAAAAAGTTTTCCAAACTCAAAAAATACTATTTCGTTGGGGACGGGGGGGGGGGTGTTGAATTTTTTTCCAGTACCAAAATTTTTTTTATGCATAATTACTTAATACTACGTATGTTAAGTACTACATTACCCTTATTTCACTTTATTGCAATAGACAATGAAGGGGGGATTAACCAGACTTTCAATATAATTTACAGATGCTTTACTCAAGAAATAACTGTCTTATTTTTAGATTTCATGATGTGATCAATCGATTGGTGCATAATCACCAAAAGCTTTTATGCATAAAATTATCACGCATTTGCTTGTCATGCAATCTATTGATCATTGTCATGAAATCGAAAATTAAGACAGTTATTCCTTATTGTTACAAGGTATTGATTCCGCCAATCCACATGCTAGAAGCCCTGCTTCTTGTCTCTATTTGTCCCGCCCTGCACTTGTTTTTTTTTTAAGCACACTTTTGATGAACCAGTACATTGATGGAGAAATAAACTACATTAACTATTTGTAATTTTATCCTGAACAAAGTCATTGGAAATGTAAATATTTAGAAATAAAAGAGAAAAAGAAACCTTTTGTTGCTATAGACATTTTAAAAGTACAAGGCTTGCAAGGCATGGCCATTCCCTGAATAAACATCTGTACAATTTTTCAAAAAAAAAGATCAGATTTAGAGCTAGAGTTATTTAATCTTTGGCTGGGCCATTCCAAGTTTTTTTCTATGTTTAGCGTCCGCGTGCGCCTTGCTTTTTGACACCCCATATGAGAAAAAACACACAACAACAGGAGTCTTGAAATTGATAAATATAGTCGAAATTTTTTAATTTTGTAAATTTCTCCAAATAATTCTGTACAGTAAGTTCTATTGGGTGTATTGTAAGCATTTAATTAATCCGTTGTTTTTGCTTAAGGATAGATATTTTTTCTATTAAAGCAGTTTACTTAGATCAAATCATTTGAAGGACGTCATTTTTATGACTTTTAAGCTTGTGTTTTATGTTTTGGTTAAGCTTAAAGTTTATTGTTTTATTATAATTCATCTCGACTTTCATATGAAAAAGTTACATGCATAAGTCTAGAAAAGAGTAGGGGGAGGCAGGCTGTCCCCCTCCTGCCCCGCCCCCTCCCGTTTTAAAGTTACAAATAACATACCACTGTAACCACTACGGATCACTTGCTGTAGCAGGCTGTTAGTCAAAGAAGCAGGGTGGTAGAAATAATTTGACTGCCCATATCCACACCTGTAACCCAGCAGGGCAGGTTTGGGAGGGACCCAGTCCATCTGTTTAAACAGGAAGGCTGTGTAGGTGGTCACTCCATCACTGGCTATCAACAACTGGAAACTGGCATTCTGTTAAAATGTAAGAGAGAGAGAATTGAATACAATTGAATGTTAATTAATGTGCATTTATTTAATTTATTTAGATAAAAATGGACCACTTATAGGTCAATTCTGCAATAAATTTATTCACTGAATGTATAAAATATGTGGCCCAGCTAAATTATAGTATAAATACACAACTGGAGGATATATGTCTCTGATTAAAAAAAATATACAAATTAATTTACTGATTGCTTGAAGTTAAAAGTGTAAAAAAAATAAAAAATGCCTAAATGGCGATTTTATAATCTTTCATCTATTATAGTACATGATCTAAATTAGAGACTGACAGACAGATATACACGATGCTTCCATTATATTTCGCTTGTGATACAGTATTTTTTTTTTTTTTTTTGCACAAATTTTTTTTTTTTTTTTATTGTGTCCCATTCCTATTAAGGTACAACTTTAGAACATGAAATGATTCCTCTGAATCTTTTTATTTGGAACACTGATGTTAAAAAAAACTCATGGAAAATATTTTTTTTATATTATCAGCTACCTGTGTGGAATAGGTAGAGGCTGGGGCAGGATGGACATTCTCCCAGGTGACAACTAAAGCTGTGTTAGGATCAAAACTGGAGGCTGTAACTGAATCTCTGTAGTTCTCCACAATCAGAGACCGGGCCTGGCTCAGAACTGATGAGTCTGCTGTGAATTTATTGTAGAAGTGATACCAGATTCTGGAATCTCTAGTCATGTCAATGTCTGACCACAAAGGAGCTACCATACTGTAGGGCTGTGTTTGGGATATATCTGAAAACAATCTTGGCCTTCCACTGTCAAAGTAGTCGAACGTAATGTATCCATTAGAAAAGATCTACAAGAAAAAGACAAAAGTCAAAAATGATATAAAAAGTACACATTTTGGAGAAATGTCAAAAACAAAAGATTATGGATAACTTGAATGCATATCATGTACTCTCTGAAGAAGTAAATGTTCAGTTTCTAGGAAAACTGGAGAAAAAACATGTTCGTTCTGCATAGCAATAAAAAAGGAATATAAGTAACCTTTAGTTTAGCATATCAGTAATGGTGGTAAAGAATTGATGACCTCTTGGTCAAAGGCAAACATAACACTCAGTTTATTCTCTATCAGACTGTAATATCATCAATAGCTTTACTTAATTTAATGTTGTAAAACAAATGTACTCATGATGTATATACTGAACTCATGATACTGAACTCAGTCTGACATCTTCCTATACATGTATGTCAAGTGTCCGAGTAATTTGACCTTTTCCATTTTTAACATCAGAGACTCCTTTATATTCACGGCTATTAGCGTTGAATGGTGACACATGTTCATGTTACACTGCCTTTTACATTTTATTGCAGTTATGTGTATTTGTGTTTGTTTGTTTACTGCGATAACCTGTGCTACTGTTGTAATTATAAGTTTCTCTAGTATCTGATTCTCTCTCCTCCCATGTGTAACCGGAAGTAGAACTCTTTAGTGTATAAATTACCAAAGTTACTAGCCAACTTGGCTTAAAGGAATAAACTATCTTCGGTAACACAATTTTTGGTGCTGTGACCAGGATAGCTCAGATGGTAGAGCACCAGACCGGAGTTTTCAGGGGGCCCGCGTTTGAATCCTGGTGTGGTCTGTTATATTTTCTCCCTTCCTGTTACACAGTAAATTTTGGTAATGCTACCAAGTGCTGTTTAGCATATGTCCATCATCACAGGAGACAACTGATAACACTGAACAGTAACAAAGTGAGCAGCTTTATATAAATGCCCTCAGATATAGTAAGTGAATAAATGAATATGGCTGACAAATTCCTTTTGTGAATTATGTTCAGCTTTAAGGAAAACCAAAGTGCAAAGTGTTATGTCTGTAAATTACCCAAGGGTTCTCAAAATATTATTTCCTATATATGAAATGGTTTCACCTTTGACCTTGTGATCTCAAATAAGAAGGAGTCATTTACTCTTCAAAGTTACCAGTGTACCAAATTTGACATCTGTCAAGCTAGGTATTACGGGGTTGAAAGATATGGGGTGGACAAAACTTTGTCTACTGACCAAAATACCATTAGGCAAGTACAAATTTTCAAGGTTTGCTATTTAAAAATAAATATTTGCAATCAATTATGCCATATGCTTTGCTTTCTTGGATATTTTACTTACATAAGCATAAGGTGAAGTTGTTTTACCACATGTAAAACCAACAGGATTATCCACAACTGCTACCAACAGGTCATCCCCTATACTTGATTGTGAATCACCTGCCAGTGTCCCATAATCTAGAAATTCTACAAGGATATCATAAGATTTGTATTTCAACTTTAAATTTGAGCATTTAGCCATTTCATTTTTAATATTTACATACAATCATATATTAGAGTAACCCAGATTAAAGATTTTGGTGAAGAGAATTAAATTTTTGTATCAAATTTTAAGGACCAGTCACTGCTACTTAGACATTAATAATAATAATAATGCTTGATTCAAGTAGAAGAATGTAATTTAGTAGCCTGACTGAAATATAAAAGTAAAAATTATTCATTAATAATTGATGAAACAGCTTTTTAAAATCTTTTTTTTTTGGAAGTTTTGGGAGGAATTTAGACACTATTTGAATGCAAACAGAGCATTAAAGGACATGAAGGAAAATATAGACTGTTCATACATAGAAAAAAAAACATTTTCATGAACTTGAATGTTGATGTATATAACTTTAAAAGGAACTAAAGGTATGAATATGTTGCAATTTAAGGTCAAACGCAATGTAGTTTGAACTTTGTTGGATTCTTCCCTGGAGATGAGTTCCACTAAAAGAAGGACCTGTGTGCAATATTGTTAATGTCTATATATGGATTTATACACCTCTTCTAAAACAAATTTTGATGAAAAAAAAAATATCTAGAATTTATGTGACATAATTTTTATAAATTTTTCTATGAAAAATGCAAAATTTTCATAATTTGATATCTTTTCAAAACCTCTGGTAATGCATGCTGATTTTTTGTCTAAGAACATGTAATGGTACTTGTGATAAATTAAATTTAGCATATCTTGAAAAGTTATCAGTAGGTAAGGTACCTTGCGTATGTCCTGAAGTACTGAAGACGTACATTTTCCCACGGGGTCATAATTACGCGGAATCCCAATTTTTGTTTAATCCGCGTGAAGTAAATTACGCAGATTTTTAAAACTGTCACTATATGCCTTACAGTTATATTAAGTACGCTTGGACAAATTTCCGCGGAAAAGTTGTGACCTACATGCGAAATTAATGTCCTTAAGTAAGTCTGACTGGACCTATCCACTTTGTTACATACACATTCAGAGTACAGTAAAACAAGCTTATAAAGAAGTGCCAGGGATGGATAATTCTGCTTTGTTATATATACGAGGGTTGTTCGAAAAGTTCGTGGACAACTCATATCTTTTTTATTTGACGTCATATGTTATCCAAATTAGGTAGAAATATTTTTACAATTAATCCAAATGATGTGTATCAAATTTTTTCTAAAACATTACGATTTATTCAAAACTTATCCAGATTTTAAAAATGCAAATATCGGATCGCGGAGCAGGTCAAAATTTAGTAAGCTACAGACAATACTCTATATAATGCCTGTAGGCATATTCTCTGTAAAATGAAGCAAAAACGAAAAACAACCTAGAAATTCAAATTAAGAATTGTTACATCGATTCGTATACCAAATTATGGCTTTATCTGTTGCTTTGTTGAAAAGAAATCAACTTTAAAAGTAAGGTAGTCCCTATTGAAAACGACAAAAACGATGACGTTTTAGAACGTCACGGAGCAGCAGATAACTATGCAATTTTGTGTTTTACTCAGGAAATCCCTGAATAAACTCTTAAAATATTTGAGGAATAAAGAAAATATGTCACAAGTGAGTTGTGCATGTATAGACAAATAGTACAGAAAGTATTTTGATTGACAGAGACCCTGTATCGGATGAGGATAATTTGTGAAGCTACGGTTTAACTGTAAAAATCTGAACAAAAACTTTAAAAAGTTGGAACGTCAAGGAAAGAAATAGGCACCTCGGAGTAGCGTATTCTGTGAAATGGGAATTAAGTAATAAAAGAAATTAAAACCTTAACAAAAGAAATTATACAACGAGAGCAATTATCAAAAAATAAATGTCAAGTATTAGAATAAAGTATTTGATGAGTAGGCATTGGATTATACTGTGTGAAATGTATAGGAATAGTATTTTTTAGAAATTCTTGACGCTATGTTTGGACGTTACATTGCCGTTAAGTGTGCTCCGCGGGTACAAAACATGTCGATTTTAAAATGAAGTAAATTGATTTCTGTTAAATCGAATGGAATGAAACTTAACACATCAACAAAACAAATATTTTTACATATTATGTTGTGTTTATTTTAAAATTCTGGTGAGTAATATAACGAAGATTGACATCGTCCACGAACTTTTCGAACAACCCTCGTATAATTCATTAATCTGTAACATTAGCAATATGTTTTAAAGCCATGGGGAAAGGTACTTCAACATAAGCATCAATTTTTTATAAGCATGTTTGCTATATTTGGATGCTTTAGCGTATAAACATTTTTTCGACTCCTCTAGAAAAGATAGCAGATATTTTTCATTTATTAAATAGATACCATATATACTTGGATTTCTGGAGTTAAATTTTGAATCAAAAGTCTGGATCCAACTTACAGGGGAGCCCTGGTAAATTTAGAATTTTGCTTGAAGAGGAATTATAGTAAATTTGCAACAACTACAATGATAATTGATACTTAATCTCATGCATGTAATAAAGATCAAATGTTACAACATGCAAATCAGACAAGCTATAGAAATTTAAATGACCTTGTATCTGTTTAGACTGTAAATAAAAAATCAAATATCAATTTGTTACCCATAGTAGGCTTTGGAACTCTGGTAATTAAATACAATAGATTACTGATCAAAATTATTTACAATGCCTAGCAAAAAACAAGATGTGTTTGTGAAACAATGATGCCCCCGTATGGTGATATATAGTGAAGATTAAACTTTTCTTAAATGCAAATTTAATATATTGGTACCTATAGTAGGGTATTCTCAGTGGAAATACAATTGTGAAACATGAAAGTAGGCCAAAGTTAAAGTTTTTTCATATGTACAGAAATCTCCAAGGTCAAGGTCAAAAAGTCAAGGTAATTATTATCCAATTAAAGGTCTTGCCACAAAGAATACATATATGAAGTATGGAAGCCCTAGCCCTTACCCTTCAAAAGTTATGGCCAAGGTTAAAAAGTTTCAAAAGTAGGTCAAATTCAAAGGGTCAAAATTTTTGATATCAAATTAAAGGTCTTGTCACAAGGATTAATATGAATAGTATGAAAGCAATAGCCTTAACCCTTCAAAAGTTATGGTCAAGGTTTGTTTTGTAAAAGTAAGTCAAACTCCAAGGTCAAGGGCAAAGAATCAAAGTTCTTGGTATCTAATGAAGAGTCTTTTCACACGGATTACATATGTGAAGTTTGAGAGCACTAGCCCTTACTGTTCAAAAGTTATGGCCAAGGTTAAAGTTTTTTCATAAGTATTGAAATCTCCAAGGTCAAGGTCAAAGTTGTTGGTATCCAATGAAAGGTATTTTTACAAAGAATATATATATG